TGCTCCAAAACCGCCATAAAAAAGCCAGACTACGGTTTGCAACTACACATGGGGACAAAGATCGTACTTTTTGGAGAAATGTCCTCTGGTCTGACAAAACAAAAATAGAATTGTTTGGCCATAATGACCATCGTTAAGTTTGGAGGAAAAAGGGGGATGCTTGCAAGCCGAAGAACACCATCCCAACCGTGAAGAACGGGGGTGGCAGCGTCATGCTGTGGGGGTGCTTTGCTGCAGGAGGTACTGGTGCACTTCACAAAATAGATGGCATCATGAGGAAGTAAAATTATGTGGATATATTGAAGCAACATCTCAAGACATCAGTCAAGACGTTAAAGCTTGGTCGCAAATGGGTCTTCTAAATGGACAATGACCCCAAGCATACTTCCAAAGTTGTGGCAAAATGGCTTAAGGACAACAAAGTCAAGGTATTGGAGTGGCCATCACAAAGCCCTGACCTCAATCCTATAGAACATTTGTGGGCAGAACTGAAAAGGTGTGTGCGAGCAAGGAGTCCTACAAATCTGACTCAGTTACACCAGCTCTGTCAGGAGTACCCGCAAAACACCAGTCTCAACATCAACAGTGAAGAGGCGATTCCGGGATGCTGACTTTCTAGGCAGAGTTGCAAAGAAAAAGTCCAGTGTCAGTGTTCTTTTGCCCATCTTAATCTTTTATTTTTATTGGCCAGTCTGAGAAATGGCTTTTTCTTTGCAACTCTGCCTAGAAAGGTCAGCATCCCGGAGTCACCTCTTCATTGTTGACGTTGAGACTGGTGTTTTGTGGGTACTATTTAATGAAGCTGCCAGTTTCAGCTGTGCTAACATAATTGCAAAAGGGTTTTCTAATGATCAATTAGCCTTTTAAAATGATAAACTTGGATTAGCAAACACAACGTGCCATTGGAACACAGGACTGATCGTTGCTGACTGGGCCTCTGTACGCCTATGTAGATATTCCATTTAAAAATCAGCCGTTTCCAGCTACAATAGCCATTTACAACATTAACAATGTCTACACTGTATTTCTGTTCAATTTGATGTTATTTTAATGGACCAAAAAATTGCTTTTCTTTCGAAAACAAGGACATTTCTAAGTGACCCCAAACTTTTGAACGGTAGTGTGTGTGTGTGTGTGTGTGTATATATGTGTATATATATATATATATATATATATATATATATATATATATATATATATATATATATATATATATATATATATATACATACATACATACATACATATACACACACACACACACACACACACACACACACACACACACACACCACACACACACACACACACACACACACACACACACACACACACACATTTGTCTTTCACTGATTGAATGTGATTGTACAAAACATTAAGAACACCTTCCTAATATTGAGTTGCACCCCCCACTTTTACCCTCAGAACAGCCTCAATTCGTCGGGGCATGGACTCTACAAGGTGCCGAAAGCGTTCCACAGGGATGCTGGCCCATGTTGACTCCAATGCTTCCCACAGTTTTGTGAAGTTGGCTGGATGTCCTTTGGGTGATGGACCATTCTTGATACACACAGGAAACTGTTGAGTGTGAAAAACCCAGCAGCGTTCCAGTTCGGTGCGCATATACAGTGCATTTGTAAAGTATTCAGACCCCTTAACTTTTTCCACATTTTGTTACGTTACAGCCTTATTCTAAAATTAATTAAATCATTTTTTTTTTATCATCAATCTACACACAATACCCCATAATGACAAAGCAAAAACAGGTTTTTAGAAATTTTAGCACATTTATATAACATAAACAGAAATATTACATTTACATAAGTATTCAGACCCTTTGCTATGAGACTTGAAATTGAGCTCCGGTGCATCCTTTTTCCATTGATCATCCTTGAGATGTTTCTACAACTTGATTGGAGTCCACCTGTGGTGAATTCAATAGATTGGACATGATTTGGAAAGGCACACCCTGTCTATATAAGGTCCCACAGTTGACATTGCATGTCAGAGCAAAAACCAAGCCATGAGGTCGAAGGAATTGTCCGTAGAGCTCCTAGACAGGATTGTGTTGAGGCACAGGCTCGTCTGGCTGATGTCCTTCATGATCTTTTTGGCCTTCCTGTGACACCGGATCCTGTAGATGTCCTGGAGGGCAGGCAGTGTGCCCCCAGTGATGCGTTGGTCAGGCCCACCCTCCTCTGGAGAGGCTTGCGGTTGGTGCAGGTGCCGTACCAGGCGGTGATACAGTCCGACAGGATGCTCTCAATGGTGCATCTGTAAAAGTAAAAGCTGAATTTCTTCAGCCACCTGAGGTTTAAGAGGCACTGTTGTACCTTCTTCACCACACTGTCTGTGTGGGTGGACCATTTAAGATTGTCAGTGATGTGTGTGCCGAGGAACTTGAAGGCTTTCACCTTCTCCACTGCGGCCCCATCAATATGGATATGGGTGTGCTCCCTCTGCTGTCACCTGAAGTCCACGATCATCTCCCTCGTTTTGTTGAGGGAGAGGTTATCTTCCAGGCACCACTCCGCCAGGGCCCTCACCTCCTCCCTGTAGGCTGTCTCATCAGTGCTGGTAATCAGGCCTACCACTGTTGTGCCTTCTGCAAACTTGATGATTAGGTTGGAGATGTGCATGTCCACGCAGTCATGGGTGAACAGGGAGTACAGGAGGGGGCTGAGCACGCACCCATTGTGGACCTCTGTGTTGAGGATCAGCATAGTGGAGGTTTTGTTGCCTATCTTGACCACCTGGGGGTGGCCCGTCAGGAAGTCCAGGACAGTTGCACAGGTTGGGGTTCAGACCCAGGACCCGGAGCTTAATGATGAGCTTGGAGGGTACTATGGTGTTGAAGGCTGAGCTGTAGTCAATGAACAGCATTCTTCCATAGGTATTCCTCTAGTCCAGATAGGATAGGGCAGTGTGCAGTCCGATGGCGATTGTGCCATCTGTGGATCTACTGGGGCAGTAACTGGACTGTTTGTACTCGACCATATTCCCAGTCACCTTGCCGTGGTTAAATGCGGTGGTTTGCGCTTTCAGTTTTGCGCAAATTCTGCCGTCCACGGTTTTTGGTTTGGATATAATTGCAAGGTCATATTTCATAATGTATTTTATTGTAAAAAATAATAATAATCGAAACTGAAATCGAAAACCTTGATTATTTTTTAAAAACCGAATCGACCTCAAAAAGCACTAATCACTCAGCACTAATTCAAAACAATATTAATGACTGGAGATTTGGTGCCTATTCAAACGCCTTTTAAAACAAGACATTCTCCCCTTTGATCAAAACCATGAAAAGTAGCAATCTATCAAGTCCAACCACTAGTGTACTCAAACTGTCTCCCTAACTCAAAACACAGGATCCAGGGATAAAGTGTTCAGTGTCGTACATCAGCCCGAAAACCGTATCTGTTCGCCTCTTCGTCTAAACACATTTAAAAGTAGTTGTGATTTAACATTCCCTCAGAGATCCTAAGCAGCCCTCATTCCTTTCTCCCAGTTCACACCCTCTCCTGCCAAACCCTGAAGTACTGTAGCTAGCCAGGCCTAGCGCTGCTGGCCAGAGGAGCATCATCCCAGATGTTCCTTCCTTGCTTCAGTGTTTTTCCACTCTGCCACCGAGGCCAACAGGCAGCTACCAGGCAAGCAGCAAGGTAGCAGCACGCTTCTGCAGAAGAAGAACGACCCAAACGTTCTTCTGGTGTATTCAGGCTAATGTCAGGACAGAGGACAACAGAGGAAAACACCAGTGGACTAAGTTTGAGGATGACACTTTTCCACTGTTAGACACTGAGGCTGGTTGGAAGTTCACTTTTTAGCCAGCCGAGTTCTCTTGCATTTGGGATGCATTTGCTTTCAGCTGAGACAGTGTTCTATCTATGGCTGGGAAGGCTTTCCTGTCTATCTGTACCATAAGCTGGTATCTGTACCGTAAGCTGGTATCTGTACCATAAGCTGGTATCTGTACCGTAAACTGGTATCGCTGACAGAGCAATACACTGATCCTCCACTGTGCCAAGAAGCAGGGACTCTCAAACACGCCCACCTTGCTGCATCCGCTGGTGTTAGTAAACAAACATAGATAATGTATCCCAACTGTGACCATCGCTGCTAAGAACAGGATGGATTTCTCACAACTGTGACAAGAAAAGCTGTTATGAACAGAGTAGAATGCTATTGATCTAAGTTAGTTCTGCGATTGGTTAGGATTTGATCAGGTATGCCTACTATCTTTTAGAACAGGGAATCGAGGAAGCCAATGATTCTGGACAGCCATACGTAGCATGTAGTGCAACCTCCTTTGTTCTAGCCCAGAACTCTAAACACCTGACTCAACAAGTTGTGGTTTTGAACCAGTTCTGTCAAGACCTTGATTAGTTGAATCAGGTGCTTAGGTGCTGTGGTGGACTAAATGCTTAAATCTCCAAGAGGAGCACTGCCTTGCTCTGTTCTAAACAGTCATTGTCTAATTGTATACTAGACAATAATTACGGCCTTGATTAGATTTAGCGATCACAGTGAGCACAGAGGCCTGCTGGTTAGGGAAGGGTCAGTGTAGGCCTAACCACCTGAATGGCAGACCCTCGGACAACTAGGCTTACCGTTGTGTGTAGCTAAACAGCAGAGGGTCAATGTAGCTACAGTTAAGCTGTAGCCTAACAGATGGAGTGCCCCAAGGGTGAGTCCTAGAGACAGTTTTATTATCCCCACTGCTAAAGGTCATGGTCTTTATTTAATGTTTGGGGAGACAGATCCCGGACCTGCTTTCCTACATCAAAGGACATTATTCAGTCACCTTATTTCTCCTATAACTCCTACTGTCCTACTTATATCAGATGGAGGATGAGGAGGTGTTTTTGTGGAGGTGGTGTCAGGGAGGAGAGGGGAGGGCTACTCTCCTCTCCATTTTCCTCCTGTTCTCTGTGGCGTGACCATAATTTACACCACCGAGACACACAGCATGCTGGGAGATGTGGGGAGGGAGGGGGGTGATGTGGGGTGAGGTGTAGTCAGGCGGGTTAGTGACTCAAGGTGAGACAGCGTATGTGTGTGTGCGTGCGCGCGAGCGTCTGCCAGGAACCCTGTTTATAAATAGCCCTGCCTACACTACTGCATCGTGGGATGCTGAGGCAAATTGTGTGGAGGCTGTGCTCTTTGCAGTGTGTGAGATAATTTGCTGTTTCTTATGAGGGAAGAAGAACATATATTTTGAGGCTGTGCCACCGTACTGTTTCAAAATTGAGAGAACAGATTTCAAAAAGCTTTAGCTTGCTTAATTTGCATCCAAATTGAAAAAGTATTTCTTATTAGGCTTATTTGTCACCAAAATAGCCCATGCCGCATCTCTGTTGATTTAATTGTATTCTCTCAAAAGTCCTCCATGTGAAACTAAAGTAAAATATTACATACATTTTTTGAATTGCAAAAACTAACTTCAAAATAAGTTCTGACATACAGTGGCTTGCGAAAGTATTCACCCCCCTTGGCATTTTTCCTATTTTGTTGCCTTACAACCTGGAATTAAAATAGATTTGTATCATTTCATTTACACAACATGCCTACCACTTTGAAGATGCAAAATATTTTTTCTTGTGAAACAAACATGAAATAAGACAAAGAAAACAGAACTTGAGCGTGCATAACTATTCACCCCCCCCCCCCCCCCCCCCCCCTTCCCCCAAAGTCAATACTTTGTAGAGCTTTTGCAGCAATTACAGCTGCAAGTCTCTTAGGGTATGTCTCTATAAGCTTGGCACATCTAGCCACTGGGATTTTTGCAAAACTGCTCCAGCTCATTCAAGTTGGATGGGTTTCGCTGGTGTACAGCAATCTTTAAATCATACCACAGATTCTCAATTGGATTGAGGTCTGGGCTTTGACTAGGCCATTCCAAGACATTTAAATGTTTCCCCTTAAACCACTCAAGTGTTGCTTTAGCAGTATTCTTAGGGTCATTGTCCTGCTGGAAGGAGAACCTCCGTCCCAGTCTCAAATCTCTGGAAGACTGAAACAGGTTTCCCTCAAGAATTTCCCTGTATTTAGCGCCATCCATCATTCCTTCAATTCTGACCAGTTTCCCAGTCCCTGCCTATGAAAAACATCCCCATAGCATGATGCTACCACCACCATGCTTTACTGTGGGGATGGTGTTCTCAGGGTGATGAGAGGTGTTGGGTTTGCGCCAGACATAGCGTTTTCCTTGATGCTTTTCTGCAAAGGGGACAGGACGACTGCACCGTATTGAGGGGAGGATGGATGGGGCCATGTATCGCGAGATCTTGGCCAACAACCTCCTTCCCTCAGTAAGAGCATTGAAGATGGGTCGTGGCTGGGTCTTCCAGCATGACAACGACCCGAAACACACAGCCAGGGCAACTGAGGAGTGGCTCCGTAAGAAGCATCACAAGGTCCTGGAGTAGCCTAGCCAGTCTCCAGACCTGAACCCAATAGAAAATCTTTGGAGGGAGCTGAAAGTCCGTATTGCCCAGCGACAGCCCCGAAACCCGAAGGATCTGGAGAAGGTCTGTATGGAGGAGTGGGCCAAAATCCCTGCTGCAGCGTGTGCAAACCTGGTCAAGACCTACAGGAAACGCATGATCTCTGTAATTGCAAACAAAGGTTTCTGTACCAAATATTAAGTTCTGCTTTTCTGATGTATCAAATACTTATGTCATGCAATAAAATGCAAATTAATTACTTAAAAATCATACAATGTGATTTTCTGGATTTTTGTTTTAAATTCTGTCTCTCACAGTTGAAGTGTACCTATGATAGAAATTACAGACCTCTACATGCTTTGTAAGTAGGAAACACTGCCGATTTTGCAGGTTATCAAATACTTGTTCTCCCCACTGTAGGTGGACTTTATTTAACTAATTATGTGACTTCTGAAGGTAATTGGTTGCACCAGATCTTATTTAGTGGCTTCATAGCAAAGGGGGTGAATACATATGCACTCACCACTTTTCCGTTATTTATTTTTTAGAATTTTTTGAAATAAGTTAATTTTTTCATTTCACTTCACCTATTTGGACTATTTTGTGTATGTCCATTACATGAAATCCAAATAAAAATCCATTTAAATTACAGGTTGGAATGCCTACAAAATAGGAAAAACGCCAAGGGGGATGAATACTTTTGCAAGGCACATTACACATTGCAGTAATGTAGTGCCGAGCCATATCTCTGGTTATAAGGAACTGAATCTGCCTTGTTATAGGTTAGGTTTGGGGGATTGCTATAGTCTAGCAGTGATTGGTGTTGGTGGGCAGGCTGTACTGTAGGCCTACTCTTTTGAGACACATTAGGCTAAGCTACAGTGCATTCAGAAAGTATTCAGACCCCTTGACTTTTTCACATTTTGTTACGTTACAGCCTTATTCTAAAATGTATTATTATTATTATATATTATTTATATCTACACACAATACCCAATCATGACAAAGCAAAAACAGGTTTTTAGAAATGTGTGCTAATGTATTAAAAGTGGCTTCTGTCTGACCACTCTACCATAAAGGCCTGATTGGTGGAGTGCTGCAGAGATGGTTGTCCTTCTGGAAGGTTCTCCCATCTCCACAGAGGAACTCTGGAGCTCTGTCAGAGTGACCATTGGGTTCATTGGGTTCTTCACCTCCCTGACCAAGTCCCTTCTCCCCCGATTGCTCAGTTTGGCTGGGCAGCCAGCTCTAGGAAGAGTCTTGGTCATTCCAAACTTCTTCCAGAAATGATGGAGGCCACTGTGTTCTTGGGGACCTTCAATGCTGCAGAAATATTTTGGTACCCTTTTCCAGATCTGTGCCTCGACACAATCCTGTCTCGGAGCTCTACGGACAATTCCTTCGACCTCATGGCTTGGTTTTTGCTCTGACATGCACTGTCAACTGTGGGACCTTATATGGGTCCTCTGTAGCTCAGTTGGTAGAGCATGGCGCTTGCAACACCAGGGTTGTGGGTTCGTTTCCCACGGGGGGCCAGTATGAAAATGTATGCACTCACTAACTGTAAGTCGCTCTGGATAAGAGCGTGTGCTAAATGACTAAAATGTAAAAAAATGTATATAGACAGGTGTGTGCCTTTCCAAATCATGTCCAATCAATTACATTTACCACAGGTGGACTCCAATCAAGTTGTAGAAACATCTCAAGGATGATCAATGGAACAGGATGTAGCTTAGCTCAAATTGAGTCTCATAGCAAATAAGGTATCTGTTTTTTTATAAGTTTGCAAGAATTTCTAAAAACCTGTTTTCTCTTTGTTGTTATGGGGTATTGTGTTTAGATTGATGAGGAATGTTTTTTATTTAATCAATTTTAAAATAAGGCTGTAACATAACAAAATGTGGAAAAAGTCAAGGGGTCTGAATACTTTCTGAATGCACTGTATACTGTATATGTGTATATACACTGAACATTTTTACATTTTAGTCATTTAGCAGACGCCATCCAGAGCGACTTACAGTTAGTGAATGCATACATGTTTTTTGTTTGTTTTCATACTGGCCCCCGTGGGAAATGATCCCACATCCCTGCCGGCCAAACCCTCCCCTACCTTGGACGACGCTGGACCAATTGTGCACCGCCCATGGGTCTCCCGGTCGCGGCCGGCTGCGACAGAGCCTGGACTCAAACCAGGATCTCTAGTGGCACAGCTAGCACTGCGATGCAGTGCCTTAGACCACTGCCCCACTCGGGTGCACACCTTCCTAATATTGAGTTGCACCCATGCTGGCCCATGTTGCTGGCCCATGTTGACTCCAATGCTTCCCACAGTTGTGTGAAGTTGGCTGGATGTCCTTTGGGTGGTGGACTATTCTTAGTACACACAGGAAACTTTGAGCGTGAAAAACCCTGCAGCGTTGCAGTTATTGAAACACTCAAACCGGTGCGCCTGGCACCTACTACCATACCCTGTTCAAAGGCACTTAAATATTTTCTCTTGCCCATTCATTCTCTGAATGGCACACATACACAATCCATGTCTCAATTGTCTCAAGGCTTAAAAATCAATCTTTAACCTGTCTCCTCCCCTTCACCTACACTGATTGAAGTGGATTTAACAATCGACTTCAATAAGGGATCATAGCTTTCACCTGGTCAGTCTGTCATGGAAAGAGCAGTTATTCTTAATGTTTTGTACACTTAATGTATAGAGCCATGTCATCATGGAATGCTCTGCCACCAGAGGTTACTCAGGCAAAAAGCAAGTTTAGCTTTAAATAACTGATTGAAAAAAAACATATTGTATCAGAGCGCCTCTCATCTTTCTAAAGATATAATTGAACTGTACTGTATATAAGAATATGAATATGCATATATGATTGTGTGTAAATAGTATTTTTGTTGTCTCTTGGTGTCTTTTCAATATATAACTCTTATTTGTTGTTCTTGTCTATAACAGTTCTGTACGTTGTTCATGTATTTGTACGTTTTATGTGGACCCCAGGAAGAGTAGCTGCTGCATGTGCAGTGGCTAATGGGGATCCTAATAAACATAACTAAGCTGTGACTGTTTCACTCAATGTTCCAGAGGTAGATTCTCAAGAGTAGGGCACTAAGGACACAGTACTCTTTCACGGGCTATTTCTCCTCTTTTTTAGAGCAGGGGTAAGCAACTGAGGTCCGAGGGCCTCATTGCTTGGTGGTAGCACACTTTTCCTCCAGCCCAGCATTAACCAACCTAACACACTAGTTTCCCTGTTTTTCTGCAGAGTTTGAACAGCTGCAGTGCAGACAGATTTTGATTTCAGATAATCTATATTGATAGACCTGTGATTGAGACCTAACACTTAGCTTTGAAATGTGACAGGCTTTCAGAATGATGTCGCACGCAAGCCATAGCACCTCTCCACAACATTCCTTGTGAAATGTGTTGTCAAACTTGATTTCTGATATGCCACCACTTCTACTGATGAGAGAGTGGAGACTTTAGTCCTCCTTTTGAGTTGGATGTATCTCTGTGTACCCTACCTCTAGACAACTTGCAGCGCTAGTGTCTGACCGGTCAGCATGAGTGCTGCCTACACAGCGAGAGCATCTGCATCTAGGAGAGTGGTTGATGGACTCTGTCACTGAACCTGACTAGACTGAGTTTGAGTAGTGAAGATACAGTAGTTGTATCACAGAGTTTCTAAACCCAGAGGCACAACATCGCGAGACTTTCGGGAACGCTTGCGAAGCAGACGAAACAGACCAGGCCGGGATTTGAGATGTCTATGAGAGAAGTGAAAAGTTCTTCCTTAGTTGTTAATCTTCTCTAAATCTAAAGGCACAACCTAGATTCGAGGCATTGTCTTAGGTAGTTGAACATGTTATTACTCCAACCTCGTGAAAGTGACAAACTGACACATTTTCATTTTTGTCAAAAACAACTTTATATCAAAGGAGTGCTTTTGATTTGACGGCCTGCACATGCGCAGTTCGGCGCGAGACGACCGTTAGACCCGATGATGTGTTTCTACGCATTAACGTAGCTATCCAACCTTACCATAACATCACCTACAAGTGTGATCTGGGATTTCTATTGGAGAAGCAGTTTCTGCCCATCTTCATACTGTCTTTGATTGTATCCAAAGACCTATACGTTTCTTGGTTTTCGTTAAAGTGATAGTTTACTCAAAGTTGTTCTCTCAAAAATCTAAGTTTGTCCGATGCTTTTCAGACCTCATACGTGGTCTAATGACATGAGTCCATGTCCCACACCATCTGTTGTATAGCCTAAATGAAAAAGTTAACTATCCTACTACTTGCTGTTTAGAGCTGGAGTATGTCCCTTGTACTATATAGCCTATATGTGTCGCCTAAGAGTTGTTCCTGATCTAACCAGACTGTTATGTGTTATCGCAGCTGTTTCCCCTGCTGACAACCTGCAGCGTTTGGAGGACAAGGAGGACTCGGAGTTGGCCAATGGACCAGAGTCTGCCAACACCTGAGCTCTGAACAGGTGAGCACCATCATCATCTCCATCATGTCCATCCATGCCTACACACCTGATTCAACTGAGTCTAGCCAGTCAGCCTGCCAGGCCCTGCTGGTATGCAGCTGCAGCAGCCTCCTGAGCCACAGCACCAGCCTCCCTCGAACTAGACTACTTCATCTTAGTCAGTCTATTGGACCAGATCTATCAATTACAAAATAATGTTAGTGTAGGGCAGACACATTTGTGGTTCAATATGCTTATGATTTGCCAAAATATAGCCTACCTTTTGTGATTTGGTATGCTTGTTATGGCTAGGCCTATATTACTATGTAGCCTATCTACAGTGCAATCTGCTTCCTAGTGCTGATTAGGCTATCCTGTGTACAGCAGCTGTAATACAGAATGTTAATAAGTGTGTCTTAGAGAGTGTATTCATGCAGTAGAAGACCTAGCACGTCCGCTGATCTTGATGATATTGGGATAGGATTTGCATAGATAATTGTGTTCACATTAGCCTGTCTCGATAGCTTAAAATCAGTACGGATAAGCAATAGACTATCTAGGCTATCGACTCCATTACAACTAGGTGCTTGATAGAATACGATATCTCTAAATGCTTTTCCAGAAGAGAGTGGTCCACCATAACCAATGCAGAATTAGCCAACAGTGGCAGTAAAGTTTAAGAAATGCACTGTATGATTCAATTAGTCTTACACCGACTAGTCTCTGCATTCACCCAGACCAGTTTGAGTAAATAAACATTACTGCTAGCGTGAATAAAGCTGTCGAAGGTGATGTGCTGGCAGCATGCAGCATTGTAAAGAAGTGTCTGTGCTGAACAAACTGTCCCAAAACAGCCTCCCTCTGCAATCCCTATAGCAATGTCTGTCAGCAGCCGTTAGGCCTGCTGATGGTGGGATCACATTCACCTAGCCTGCGTGTGTGTGGAGAGAGGGGTGTGCCTGCATGCATGTGTGTGTGGAGGAGGGGGGAGGTTTGTGTGTGTGTGTGTGTGTGTGTGTGTGTGTGTGTGTGTGTGCGAGAGCAAGAGCAAGAGAGGAGAGGGAGGGGGGAGAGAGGGGAGGAGAGAGGAAGAGAGGGTCAGCATTCATTTAGAGAGAGGGCCATCAAATCACCCAGGGTGAGAGCACACATAGCCCCACTACACATAAACAGTACACGTATGAAAAAGTGAATTATGTCCTGATACTGGAGACCTACAGGGTGTGTAGGCTTTGGTTCTACACTCCTAGAAAAAAGGGTTCCAAAGGGGTTCTTCAGCTGTCCCCATAGGAGAACCCTTTTTGGTTCCAGGTAGAACCCTTTTTTGTTCCAGGTAGAACTCTTTTGGATTCCATGTAGAACCCTCTGTGGAAAGGGTTCTACATGGAACCAAAAAGGGCTCTACCTGGAACCGAAAGGGTTCTACCTGGAACAAAAAAGGGTTCTTCAAAGGGTTCTCCTATGTGGACAGCCGAATAACCCTTTTAGGTTCTAGATATAACCTTTTTTTCTAAGAGTGTAGCCCACCACTAACACATCTGATGAATCTAATCAAGGACTTGATGACTTTATGCATGCTATATAAAGCCTTTGTAAGTTAGTTTGAAGTGGGACCAAGCCTCAACACCCTGTGGGTTTAGGAATGATGATGTTATCCATCAACTTGGTGTAGTACACAGTATTGTTGATGATAGTCTCACTACTTTGCCACATGAGACTCAGTTTAAAGTGGGTCACTGTGTGTGGTGTGTGTGTGTGTGGTGTGTTATTCCTATAGAGACTATGGTGCGTGTGTATTTGTGTGTGTGTGTGTGTCTCTCAGTCTCTGTCATTCTCTGTCTCTCTAGGAAACCCTGCCTGTCTACCCTTTACATCTGTTTGCCTCTGACCACAGATGAACACAGAGCCTTTAGTGATTCATTCATAGCTTTACCTCCTTCTGTACCATCAACATCGATTATCTCAACATCCAAAATTAGTAACATAGGACTGCTAGTAGTCGTATCAGCGCAAATATGCTCTAATGGAAAAACTGGCAAGTTCCGTCAAACCTTTTTAGCCTACATTCTCTCCGTTCTTCCAAAGAGTATCAAATTAAATGGACAGAGACTGTCTTTTCCTGTTGTGTAAGATTGATCTGAAATTCTAAACAGTTTTCAGATTGGATGGTTGAACGTTTATTTACGCTGCGGGGACGGTCAAGATGTAACGGGATAGCTGCAGTGTACAAGAACAACATATCTATTACAGATCTATTGTAGTGTCTGTTGGCTGAAGACACAAAGCCCTGGCTGCCGTCAATATCTCCTCAGAGAGATAGAGATCATCCAAAGCCTTGTATTGAGATCGAAAAGTATTGACAGTTCATAACTGATCACTGCAATATTTTGGGGGAAATAAAGCAATTATTTTCTATTCTACCCAAAAGTCTACCATAGACTCTCCCCCCCCCCCCCTCCCAAAAGGGTTGTCTCCATCCCCCATTCCTAAAGCACCTTTCTGGGCCTGGAGCCAAGAAATAACAACCCTCCCCCTTTAAAAACCGGTCCCTGTTAACCCCACTGAGATGAGAAACCTGGGAATGACATTTCTGTTTCCCGTGGTAACAACTTCTGCATGTGAACTTGAGATGGAGAAGAAGTAGATGGCTTGGACCATGTTTAGAGAACCACACACAGATGTGATGGGGTCTTACCTCTGTCGGAGGAATCCAGTAGAGCAGTGCCAGCACATATTCAATCAAAACCGATATCTGGAAGGAAGGCTTGCGTAAATCTGTAAACATTTTGGGGAAATAAGAACACATGTTTAGGGTCACAGGGTGTCTTTGCATTAAAGTTAATTGCAATTACTTTACAATGACTTTAAAATGACATGATAATCTGGCCCAGATTTTGGCCCACAATTTCCACTGTCTGTTGCTGATTTGTGTACAAGACATTGGCAGATGGTTAGAGTTCCAAACCCTATTAAAATTAAACCGCCAGTTGAATGACTCAACACTCAGAGACTGTCATTATGTGGGGGTAGGGCTGGGCGGGATACCGTATTTGACTATATACCGGTATTGATGCACGGACCAGTTTGGGTTTTTACTTTACCTTCTATAACGGTATTTGAATGTTTGGTTTGTTAAATGTGATATGCCTTGTGTAACGTCCATTTCTATAGTTTACTCCCCTACTTGAATCTTCTCTCTCTGCTCTCTCTCCTTGCCTTTTTTCCACACAGAGCTACCCCCGCCCCCTGTCACTCAAGGAACACATTTGTTGTTGGTCGACCATGAGACCCTTGCGTTCAGTCTGCATGGTCAATGCAGCACATGCAACAATGTTGATGACTACGATGCTGTTTCCATTTAGCTTCTTAATATAAATCCACTGGCGTTCTATTATTACACTATTAGTTTGTGTTTCTTACATTTGCAAACAGCTAGTTTTTTTTCTTAGCAAGTTGTGGCTAAGTCATGCTGGCTAGTCAGAGCAAACGTAGCTAGCTATACAGACTGATACCAGTAATGGTGTAGGCCTAAATCAGCATGTTGTTTGTGCAACAGTATCTTCTAAATCAAAGACGAATAGGCAAAGCATGAATATGTTAGCTACATGGAGCAGTTAAGAGAAAACATTTAATGTATAATCATTATTTTTCCAGGATTCCAACAGTTCACCCAAGTGTTTTGATCTAAATCGCAAGTCAAATCGCAATTGCAACATTTGGTTAAAAATAAGGCCTAGATTGTTTGCCAATATCGTGCAGCCCTACTTGGCAGTGTGGAAATTATCTCATGAGTGCAGGAAATGCAAAAATGTATGAAAATGCAGAAACATATTTTTGGTTGAAGTTTCATTGAACAATATAAAACAATCAGAATGGAGAGAGACCCATTAACTTCTATTATTCAAAACATAAAATACCATCATACCGTCAAAAAAGATATATACTGTGATATGATATTTTGGCCTTATCGCCCAACCCTATGTGGGAGTTTGCAAACATCTAAGTCTTGAGAATTAGCGATAGCAAAACATTTGTCTAACCCCTTGCAAATCAAAGCTGACTGTACGTTTTATTATCAAGCCAAAGTGATTGAGGGAGGTGCTTTAGATCATTACAGTATAATTGAGTAGCCTAGTAGTAACATTGTGAACTTCATTGTAGTCTGCATCCACCAGGCCACCCTTGTTTTGTAATGAGTTAGGATTTTGCATTCAGTACTTCTCTGTGCATGATGCATTAGTCCTGCAGCTATACTGGATGAAAGTCTTATTCTGTCTCACTTCGCCACAGCAATAACATTATTTAACTGAACATGGGCCTCTAGCCATATCAGTGCAGTCATTCCATAATGCCTGACTGCCTAGTACGTAACACCCTCTCGTATGACCATCATGTGTTTGGGGCCTAGGGGTGAAAAGATACAGTGCCTTGCAAAAGTATTCATCCCCCTTGGCATTTTTCCTATTTTGTTGCATTACAATCTGTAATTTAAATGGATTTTTATTTGGATTTCATGTAATGGACATACACAAAATAATCAAAATTGGTGAAGTGAAATGAAAAAAATAACTTGTTTCAAAGAATTCTACAAAATAAATAACAGAAAAGTGGTGCGTGCATAGGTTTTCACCCCCTTTGCTATGAAGGCCCTAAATACGATCTGGTGCAACCAATTACCTTCAGAAGTCACATAATTGGTTAGATTGCACATAGGTGGACTTTATTTAAGTGTCACATGATCTCAGTGTATATATACAGCTGTTCTGAAAGGCCCCAGAGTCTGCAACACCACTAAGCAAGGGGCACCACCAAGCAAGCGGCACCATGAAGAACAAGGAGCTCTCAAACAGGTTAGGGACAAAGTTGTGGGAAGTACAGATCAGGGTTGGGTTATAAAACAATATCCTAAACTTTGAACATCCCACGGATAATGGATTAAATCCATTATTAAAACATTGAAAGAATATGGCACCACAACAAACCTGCCAAGAGAGGGCCGCCCACCAAAACTCACGGACCAGGCAAGGAGGGCATTAATCAGAGGCAACAAAGAGACCAAAGATAACCCTGAAGGAGCTGCAAAGCTCCACAGCGGAGATTGGAGTATCTGTCCATAGGACCACTTTAAGCCGTACACTCCACAGAGCTGGGCTTTACGGAAGAGTGGCCAGAAAAAAGCCATTGCTTAAAGAAATAAATAAGCAAACACGTTTGGTGTTCGCCAAAAGGCATGTGGGAGACTCCCCAAACATATGGAAGAAGGTACTCTGGTCAGATGAGACTAAAATTGAGCTTTTTGGCCATCAAGGAAAACGCTATGTCTGGCGCAAACCCAACACCTGTCATCACCCCGAGAACACCATCCCCACAGTGAAGCATGGTGGTGGCAGCATAGTTATGCACGCTCAAGTTCTGTTTTTTTGTCTTGTTTGTTTCACAATAAAACATATTTTGCATCTTCAAAGTGGTAGGCATGTTGTGTAAATCAAATTATACAAAATGCGGTTCTGACAATGAAGGATTCCGTTGGGTCAAACATTCTGAGCATACTGCTGTTATGGATGTGGTCATTCAGGTCAAAGGGCACTATGCATCTCTGTGTTGCTCTATCATAATAAGATCTATGGAGAATATCAAATGGAAAAAATGTAAATAACAAATCATTAAAGAGCAGCAGTAAAATAACAGTAGCGAGGCTATATACAGGGGGTACCGGTACAAAGTCAATGTGCGGGGGCACAGTTTAGTCGAGGTAATATGTACATTTAGGTAGAGTTAAAGTGACTATGCATAGATAATAAACAGAGAGTAGGTGCAGCGTAAAAGAGGGGGTGGGTGGGGGGGGAACAATGCAAATAGTCCGGGTAGTCATTTGATTAGCTTTTCAGGAGTCTTATGGCTTGGGGGTAGAAGCTGTTAAGAAGCCATTTGGACCTAGACTTGGCGCTCCGGTACCGCAGTCTATGACTAGGGTGGCTGGAGTCTGACAATTTTTAGGGCCTTCCTCTGACACCGCCTGTTATAGAGGTCCTGGATGGCAGGAAGCTTGGCCCCAGTGATGTACTGGGCCGTACGCACTACCCTCTCTGACCTCCTGCCTATAGGCTGTCTCATCGTTGTCGGTGATCAGGCCTACCACTGTTGTGTCATCAGCAAACTTAATGATGGTGTTGGAGTCGTGCCTGGCCATGCAGTCATGGGTGAACAGGGAGTACAGGAGGGGACTGAGCACGCACCCCTGAGGGGCCCCAGTGTTGAGGATCAGCGTGGCAGATGTGTTGTTACCTACCCTTACCACCTTGGGGCGGCCCATCAGGAAGTCCAGGATCCAGTTGCAGAGAGAGGTGTTTAGTCCCAGGGTCCTTAGCTTAGAATGAGCTTTGAGGGCACTATGGTGTTGAACGCTGAGCTGTAGTCATTGAAAAGCATTCTCACATAGGTGTTCCTTTTGTCCAGGTGGGAAAGGGCAGTGTGAAGTGCAATAGAGATTGCATAATCTGTGGATCTGTTTGGGTGGTATGCAAATCAGAGTGGGTCTAGGTTAGCTGGGATAATGGTGTTGATGTGAGCCATGACCAGCCTTTCAAAGCACTTCATGGCTACAGGCGTTAGTGCTACGGGTCGGTAGTCATTTAGGCAGGTTACCTTAGTGTTCTTGGGCACAGGGACTATGGTGGTCTGCTTGAAACATGTTGGTATTACAGACTCAGTCAGGGACAGGTTGAAAATGTCAGTGAAAACAGGGCTATTAGAGAGATGGCCTGTTAAGGATAAAGACAGGGCACATGGTATTAATTAGGAGGAATCTGCATCTTCAGACAGAGGAAGAGGGGGAGAGAAAGAGATTTGTTTGTGTGCACCCGTCACGTTTATGTCTGGACTTATCTGATATAGGTACTTTTGGTTTGATTAACTGAATCTCGACTGTAGGTAACTGACTGAAAACAATATATCATACATTCTCCATTCTCTAGGAGCTGATTGAATGCCTGGAGAAAAAGTACTGAACTCTGTGCTGACATTATGCATATACAGTACATACAATACAAAATCACTCACCCCCCACTAAACAAGGAGAGTGTTTCAGGGCAGGCAGGGGACAAAAGCCCAGCTCAGCTGGTAAGGGAGAGAGGTTAAGACTGTAGCCTAGTAGTCCAGGGGGAGGATTATAGTCATTTAGTATATTGGGTAGAGGAGAGCCTGGCTTCATTCACTGTTATTACTGTGTATAGTGCTGGCTCTGACCCCCTCCTGCTCCTTAATTATAGTGGGGGTGTGACTGCAGACAGTGTTGTGGCGGACTGCAGCCTCATTGTATGGGCCCTGCCACCGACCCACCCCCTTCTAATGAGAGATCAGTTGCCTGTTGTCCTGCTGTTAATGAACTCATTAATCTACTCTTTAGTAAGCCAGACATTAGGGCCACCACCAGCCATGTGTTTGACGTTTTACTGAATCAGTCCAGGCGTCTGCCCCGCGTCGCCCCAGACTCCCTCCCTCCCCCTCAGTAATGTGTGACGTGTCGCAGGCAGCGCAGCCACACACACACACACACACACACACACACACACACACACACAGTGGGGCCATAAAATTGCTTTGTCACTGCAATTTCCCTGTCCATTGGCCGGCACACAAACAGCCCTGTCCCTGATGCCACTGTAATTACTTTTATTTATGCCCCCCCCCCTCCCCCCAGCAGCCTTGAGGTTCTGGTCAAGGCTGAGTTCTTCGGTGTACATTTCCCCCTGCGCCCTATATTTCACTCTGCACTTTCTCCATCTCTCTCTTCTTCTGTCACTCATTCCCTTTCTCTGTCATTCTGTTTCTGATCTCACTCTCTTAGTCCCTTCTCTCTCTGGCTCAGTGGTGGAAAAAAAACACACCACTGGCGGCTGTGTCAGCACTTTCTCGTGTGCGTGTATATCTGAGGGAGAGAAAGAGAGAGTTGGAATAATCGCACTCCTCTCACTTTGACAGACGATGATCTTGTACTTCATAACACTTGCGATGTTAGAGCAGAATGCACGGAAAATACATTACTGTCTAACTGTATGCTTTTGTATTCAGCTTTCCTCCTTTTGACTAAGAACATATTTCCCTCAGTGTTTAAGTGTGTGTGCGTTTGTGTGTGTGTGTGTACATGCTTGCGTCTGCATGTATTCCTATAGGTGTGTGTCTATATAGTGTTCCCCTCAACAGTGAAGTACATGCATGTGTCTCAGCTCTTCATGTTGTGCTATGGTGATGTCACCTGATCCCCTAATGCGATTGGTCTCTCTTTGTTTCAGATCGGCTGCCTCCAGTCGGGCGAACAAAGGAGGTGAGACGAGGCTGTTCCTTCCCACAATCCTTCACCCCTGTGCCTACTGATCCGGACCACTGCCCCTGCACTCGCTCTGCCTCTCCCTTCTCCCTTCTCCCCACTCTCTTTCTCTCTCACTGCTCTTGTTTCTCTCTCTCTGTCGCTCCACCCTGGGGCAGGCAGGCTGTGGGGCAGGCAGGCTGTGGGGCAGTAGGAGCAGGGAAGCAGTAGGGGCTGATTGATGCTCTGTGGGGATGAGACCTGGCTGTTGAAGGCCAGTGGAGACGGCCCCCATTCTCCGCTCGCCTGGCTTCATGTGCGTGCCTGCAGGCTGCCCTACGCGCAGCAGAGCCACCCCCCACGTCAGCCATCACGGCGGCCACCCCAAGCCACCCAGACATGCCCACCGAGACCCTGACGCCGCTGGCAGATGGCAAGCCCCCCGGCCCCGGGGCGGCCTTTGCCTCCACCGTCCCACTGCGCATACTCAACAAAGGGCCCAACTACTTCCGGCGCCAGGTGGAGCCCAACCCTAAGCGGCTGAGCGCTGTGGAGCGACTGGAGGCGGACAAGTCCAAGTACGTCAAGAGCCAGGAGGTCATCAACGCCAAGCAGGAGCCTGTTAAGCCCTTGCTGCTGGCCAAGCCGCCTGTCTGCCCTGCCGTGGCTAAGAGAGGGGCGAATGGCGGCAGTGGTGGTGGGGCGGACCTCAAGGCATCCAACAACAACTCCAAGTCAGACACATGCACCACCACCAGCAAACGGGAGAACCTCAACCTGGAGATCCTTAAGAACCTCCTGAATAGCTCCGGCTCAACCTCTGAGGGCCACGCTAAGAGCGCTACTCTAAAGCCCGGGGCCAAGAGCTGGGCCCCCCACTGCTCCATCCCCACCACCACGGACTGCTCTGAGCCCACCAGCCTCCGTTCCTTCTCTGAGTCCCTCAAGGTACCTCCCCCTGCACCTGGCCGACGGAGCCCCCAGGGGGGCAACCTTAACCTCAGCCGCCGCCTGCTGGAGGAGCGGGGCGAGGGCGACCGCTCACCCCTCCACGCCTCCCACAGCTCCTCCGACATTCGCAGGCTCTGCAACGGTAAGCCTCTAAGGGCGGCCCGAAGTAGCAGCAGCTCCGCACCTCCCTTACCCCCCAAGCCCAGACCCAAAGTCCTGGCCCCCCTCTGCGACAATGCCCCCCAGGCCCCCGAGAGGGAGCCCACCCCCACGCCGCCCACCTCTGCCACCCCAGCTGAGCAGTTGGAGCTAGAGCTGGGGTCCTCTGTGGCCCGCCGGCCGTCCCTGCATCGCTCCAAGTCGGACCTGAGCGACCGGTACGCGCGAGCCGGCGCTGACGTGGAGCGTTTTTTTAACTACTGTGGGCTGGACCCCGAGGAGCTGGAGAGTGTGGGCGTGGAGAGCTTCGCCCGTGCCAATTCCGACATCATCTCCCTCAACTTCCGCAGCGCCAGCATGATCAGCTCGGACTGCGACCAATCACGGCACAGCAACGAGGATATGACGGACGAGGAGGAAGATGCGAGCGAACGCGTGCCTTACGGGATCTCGGCCGTGGAACGCAATGCCCGCGTCATCAAATGGCTGTACAGCATCAAACAGGCACGCGAGTCGCAGAAAGTATCTCATGTCTAAAAGAGGGAAGAAACAAACTATTAGACGGTCCTTGCAAAAAAATTAAATAAATGACTTCTGATGCAATGAAGGTCTTTGGACACTTGCGCACTGAATCTCTCTGAATGTCAAAGTATTGATCTGGCAAGGCGCACGTGGATGGCTCTTGCGGTCGCTTTCGCGTTCAGTGTTTGTTGTCCTCTGAATCTGCATGACTCCTCCCACCCACCCCGCCAGTGCGGCCTCCAGCTAAAGCAGCAGGTTTAGGAAAAAAAAGCCTTTTTCAAGATGGCTGCCGTTCAGTGCCGTCTCTTCGAGCAGTGCAGCTCTCTCTCATCGTTTTGCTTTCTCTGTTTAGACCAGCACTATGATGCCAGCTCTTTTTAGGTGTGTCTTCTTAATGTCCTTTCTTTCTGAACAACACTAAGCCTGGAAGCCATACGGGTGTGAATGCAGCGCTTCAGTGTGTAACCAGTCTTTAGTCTGATAATTCTCTCTGATGCATCTGAGCTTTGTGTGTGTATAGAAAAAAACTCCCCTGAAAAAAGGACTGTGGAAGCATGGTACAGTCCAAACCTGCCTCACCCCTTTGGTACCAGGAGAGTTTGTTTGGTACATTCCATACCCAGACCCTGCCCCCTTCCTGGGGAAACCCCATCTTAACCCCTCTCTCAGCGTTACTATGGCGATAACGTTCTGGCAGCATCATGAAACCATTCAGCATTATGTGGTTTTTGCTTCTGTTTAGTTTGTTGTCCATAACGTTCTTATTGACAGTTGGATTTTGTGGTACTGGCTTTACTTTAAGATGTGTGTAAATGCTGTAAGAAAATGTATATACACATTATAATTTTTTTGATTTTTGTCAGAGGGCACCTGTCAAGCTAACTTACTACATTGTTCAGTCTTCTCTCTGGGCTTGACTGTGAGACCGCGGCAAACCCTGTTCATGATAAAGTCTGTATGATGCTGTTATGATGACATACATGTTTCTGTATATGGGAGTTGGAACTCTTACAGTACTTAAAGATTAAGGCAATGAATTGTGTTCATGTTCAGTTATTTTGCATTATTTCAATAAATGGCTTGTTTTGCCATCTACGTTGACATTTCTTGTGAGTATTATTTCATAAAAATTATATTTGATGATGATAACACTGAGCTTTGTTCATTTTCTGTACTACAATATTTATGGTTACTGCATTACCATTACATCACCCATCTAACCGCTGGAGGATCAGAAGAATACTCATGCAGGTGGAGTCTGTTGATGTTAGCTCATAGATCAGAGGTCACCAAGATCACCTTCCTTGTGCGATCCTATAAAAGCAAAAAGCTGTCAAGATGTATTTTCTATGTATCGCTCCACTGACTGTACAAGGAACCTGAGCTAGTATGTAAAACTGAAAAAGAGTCTGTTTACAGTTATCTCCACTCTTCATGTTCCAGGTTTAAAAGGCTGTGGGATATGTCAGGACGGTGATTAATTGTGGGTAATGCAGTTTCTTTATGTAAATTGGCCCTCTCTGAGCTCAGAGACGAAGTGACCTACTCTAAAACCAATGTGGAAAGGCCAGATTCCCTCATCTTTCAAGTACAGTTTAGATGGTCATACTATGGATAAATTAGCTATTTGATTTTGAATTGTAGGACCCCTTTAGGTATAAGAAAATATATATACAAACAAATATTTGATAAAATATTGCATTTGGCCTTTACCATGATAGCCCAGAGAAACACATTCATAAATGGCATAAAAGACAGTAAAAAAATAGAAACAAGGTTTTGAAGTGTTTGTCCTATATCTAGGGAGATATAGGACAAGGGACTGTTTACCATAGACACAGTATAACATGCCCACATCTCCATGGGGTAACCTATATACAGTGAGGGAAAAAAGTATTTGATCCCCTGCTGATTTTGTACGTTTGCCCACTGACAAAGACATGATCAGTCTATAATTTTAATGGTATGTTTATTTGAATAGTGAGAGACAGAATAACAACAAAGAAATCCAGAAAAACGCATGTCAAAAATGTTATAAATTGATTTGCATTTTAATGAGGGAAATAAGTATTTGACCACTCTGCAAAACATGACTTAGTACTTGTTGGCAAAACCCTTGTTGGCAATCACAGAGGTCAGACGTTTATTGTAGTTGGCCACCAGGTTTGCACACATCTCAGGAGGGATTTTGTCCCACTCCTCTTTGCAGATCTTCTCCGAGTCATTAAGGTTTCGAGGCTGACGTTTGGTAACTCGAACCTTCAGCTCCCTCCACAGATTTTCTATGGGATTAAGGTCTGGAGACTGGCTAGGCCACTCCAGGACCTTAATGTGCTTCTTCTTGAGCCACTCCTTTGTTGCCTTGGCCGTGTGTTTTTTTTTTTTTTTTACATTTTAGTCATTTAGCAGATGCTCTTATCCAGAGCGACTTACAGTTAGTGAATACATATATTTAAAAAAAATTATAATTAATATACTGGCCCCCCGTGGGAAACGAACCCACAACCCTGGCGTTGCAAACGCCATGCTCTATCAACTGAGCTACATCCCTGCCGGCCATTCCCTCCCCTACCCTGGACCAATTGTGCGCCGCCCATGAGTCTCCCGGTCGCGGCCGGCTGCGACAGAGCCTGGATTCGAACCAGGATCTCTAGTGGCACAGTTAGCACTGCGATGCAGTGCCTTAGACCACTGCGCCACTCAGGAGTGTGTTTTGGGTCATTGTCATGCTGGAATACCCATCTACAACCCATTTTCAATGCCCTGGCTGAGGGGAGGTTCTCACCCAAGATTTGACGGTACATGGCCCCGTCCATCGTCCCTTTGATGCGGTGAAGGTGTCCTGTCCCCTTAGCAGAAAAACACCCCCAAAGCATAATGTTTCCACCTCCATGTTTGACGGTGGGGATGGTGTTTTTGGGGTCATAAGCAGCATTCCTCCTCCTCCAAACACGGCGAGTTGAGTTGATGCCAAAGAGCTCGATTTTGGTCTCATCTGACCACAACACTTTCACCCAGTTCTCCCCTGAATCATTCAGATGTTCATTGGCAAACTTCAGACAGGCATGTATATGTGCTTTCTTGAGCAGGGGGACGTTGCGGGCGCTGCAGGATTTCAGTCCTTCACGGCGTAGTGTGTTACCAATTGTTTTCTTGGTGACTATGGTCCCAGCTGCCTTGAGATTATTGACAAGATCCTCCTGTGTAGTTCTGGGCTGATTCCTCACCGTTCTCATGATCATTGCAACTCCACGAGGTGAGAGCTTGCATGGAGCCCCAGGCAGAGGGAGATAGACAGGTCTTTTGTGTTTCTTTCATTTGTGAATAATCACACCAACTGTTGTCACCTTCTCACCAAGCTGCTTGGCGATGGTCTTGTAGCCCATTCCAGCCTTGTGTAAGTCTACAATCTTGTCCCTGACATCCTTGGAGAGCTCTTTGGTCTTGGCCATGGTGGAGAGTTTGGAATCTGATTGATTGATTGATTGCTTCTGTGGACAGGTGTCTTTTATAAAGGTAACAACTGAGATTAGGAGCACTCCCTTTAAGAGTGTGCTCCTAATCTCAGCTCGTTACCTGTATAAAAGACACCTGAGAGCCAGAAATCTTTCTGATTGAGAGGGGGTCAAAATACTTATTTCCCTCATTAAAATGCAAATCAATTTATAACATTTTTGACATGCGTTTTTCTGGATTTTTTTGTTGTCATCCTGTCTCTCACTGTTCAAATAAACCTACCATTAAAATTATAGACTGATCATTTCTTTGTCAGTGGGCAAACGTACAAAATCAGCAGGTGATCAAATACTTTTTTCCCTCACTGTATATATATATACATGTAAAAAAAAAAAAATATATATATATATATATATATATACAGTGGGGAGAACAAGTATTTGATACACTGCCGATTTTGCAGGTTTTCCTACTTACAAAGCATGTAGAGGTCTGTAATTTTTATCATAGGTACACTTCAACTGTGAGAGACGGAATCTAAAACAAAAATCCAGAAAATCACATTGTATGATTTTTAAGTAATTAATTTGCATTTTATTGCATGACATAAGTATTTGATACATCAGAAAAGCAGAACTTAATATTTGGTACAGAAACCTTTGTTTGCAATTACAGAGATCATACGTTTCCTGTAGGTCTTGACCAGGTTTGCACACACTGCAGCAGGGATTTTGGCCCACTCCTCCATACAGACCTTCTCCAGATCCTTCAGGTTTCGGGGCTGTCGCCGGGCAATACGGACTTTCAGCTCCCTCCAAAGATTTTCTATTGGGTTCAGGTCTGGAGACTGGCTAGGCCACTCCAGGACCTTGAGATGCTTCTTACGGAGCCACTCCTTAGTTGCCCTGGCTGTGTGTTTCGGGTCGTTGTCATGCTGGAAGACCCAGCCACGACCCATCTTCAATGCTCTTACTGAGGGAAGGAGGTTGTTGGCCAAGATCTCACGATACATGGCCCCATCCATCCTCCTCTCAATACGGTGCAGTCGTCCTGTCCCCTTTGCAGAAAAGCATCCCCAAAGAATGATGTTTCCACCTCCATGCTTCACGGTTGGGATGGTGTTCTTGGGGTTGTACTCATCCTTCTTCTTCCTCCAAACACGGTGAGTGGAGTTTAGACCAAAAAGCTCTATTTTTGTCTCATCAGACCACATGACCTTCTCCCATTCCTCCTCTGGATCATCCAGATGGTCATTGGCAAACTTCAGACAGGCCTGGACATGCCCTGGCTTGAGCAGGGGGACCTTGCATGCGCTGCAGGATTTTAATCCATGACGGCGTAGTGTGTTACTAATGGTTTCCTTTGAGACTGTGGTCCCAGCTCTCTTCAGGTCATTGACCAGGTCCTGCCGTGTAGTTCTGGGCTGATCCCTCACCTTCCTCATGATCATTGATGCCCCACGAGGTGAGATCTTGCATGGAGCCCCAGACCGAGGGTGATTGACCGTCATCTTAAACTTCTTCCCTTTTCTAATAATTGCACCAACAGTTGTTGCCTTCTCAACAAGCTGCTTGCCTATTGTCCTGTAGCCCATCCCAGCCTTGTGCAGGTCTACAATTTTATCCCTGATGTCCTTACACAGCTCTCTGGTCTTGGCCATTGTGGAGAGGTTGGAGTCTGTTTGATTGAGTGTGTGGACAGGTCTTTTATACAGGTAACGAGTTCAAACAGGTGCAGTTAATACAGGTAATGAGTGGAGAACAGGAGGGCTTCTTAAAGAAAAACTAACAGGTCTGTGAGAGCCGGAATTCTTACTCGTTGGTAGGTGATCAAATACTTATGTCATGCAATAAAATGCAAATGAATTACTTAAAAATCATACAATGTGATTTTCTGGATTTTTGTTATAGATTCCGTCTCTCACAGTTGAAGTGTACCTATGATAAAAATTACAGATCTCTACATGCTTTGTAAGTAGGAAAACCTGCAAAATCGGCAGTGTATCAAATACTTGTTCTCCCCACTGTATATATATATATATATATATATATATATATATATATATATATATATACACACACATATATATGTTTTACACATAACCCCTTTTTTGGGTAGGCGCAAAACTACCTTCATACTTCCATTCATTTTTTAAAACTGGTACCGGTTTCCTTCCGACGTGTCCCGTGACACTTGTGGCGGACCACCATGGTGTTTGTGAGAATCTCCCCTTTCCACAGTGGGGTCACATTAGTTTGTAGGTCAAACCGTTCGGATGCTATAGACGTTATCGTGAGAAGACCACTCTAGCTCTGCCACCTTTCACCGCAGATGCGGAAGTGCGACACTGGCGGATGCGCTGGATTGAGACGCATCCAAAGCAGATACCTCTAGCTTAAACTGACAGATATTGATGGTGATTTTTGTATTATGTTACTT